AAGTATTACCTTGCCTTTCCATCTACTATGAACTAAACATGAACATGAGTCCACTTTTATGTACTATCTTCTCCAGTTTCAATGTGAACTTCTTGAGATCAGGTACTAGCTGAGTTTTCTATTTGTAACTCCAGCATTTATACTGTTTTTAACACATAGTGAGAATCTAGGTTTTTTTTCTTATTCCTGTCTTTATGAATGGGGAATTTCTATTAATATCTCAAAAAGAATGTGTTATCTCTTACTGAATTGCAATTCTTCACATGCTATAGGCATCTTAGGGAACTCTAGCCTTTGATACAACCCCTCATTTCTATCTACCTCCCCAGAAATCTCCAGAGTAAAATGAGGAAAGTAATTCCTCCTCTAGAAGACAGTGCCAGTCAGGAACAGCAGTCAAAGGACTTGGTTTGTATTCCTCAGTCAACTCTTTGAAGTATCACTCCAGTCAGGGAGGGAGGAACCCAATACATCATGATTTCCTCTTTCAGGGTCTTCATCTTAGCTCTCCAAATACCACTGCCGGGGCAGCTAGGTGGTGCAGTGGATAGAGCACCAGCCCTGAAGTCAGGAGGACCTGAGTTCAAATCCGGCCTCAGAGCAAACACTTGATACTTACTAGCTGTGTGACCTTGGGCAAGTCACTTAACCCCAATTGCCAAAAAAAAACCCAAAATAAAACAAATACCACTGCTGTGGGGAGGAGCCATCACAGATTGCCACAGCAACGTAGCCTTTCTGACTCAATGGATCAACCACCTTTAGGTACTGTCCAACTGATACCTGGTAGAGCCTAATGTTTTTCCCAAGAATCCATTGTTGGGATCCCCCTGACCCATGGCACTTCATGAGCCTTAGTGGGTCTGATGTGTTTCTGACATATCCAAGCAAAGGAGATTATTTAAAATCAATTCATGTTCTTCTTATTCCTGTCCATAGGGCAATATATCGACACATCCTGTCCAGGAACAATGGCAGAGTAAATCTGTTCATGGGTCATGTTTCCAGAACTGAAGGGAGAAGGGAGGAGAGAAGCAGAGAAACTAGAGTTCCCTGAAATCATGGTTTGGGAGGCACAATCATCGATCAGTAAAGAGAATGCTAGGGCAGAATCTCCAGATTTTAAAGTTAAAACCTCCAGGGCATGATCTCTTGTATAGGAAAAAAGTAATTGATAAGGCTATAGAGGAGAGTGTTATAGAGGCTTGATGATTTCCTTGCTCAAATACCTGTAACTGTGAAAATTAAACATTAGGTGAAGTTAAAGATTTGGGGCATGAGCTTTCTATCTGTTAAAAAAAAAAGCAGACAAAAGTGAAGCATGGCTGGTTTTCTTGAAAATGTAGCACAGGGGGGCAGCTAGATGGTGCAGTGGATAGAACACCAACCCTGAAGTCAGGAGGACCAGAGTTCAAATTTGGCCTCAGACCCATGATACTTCCTAGCTGTGTGACCCTAGGCAAGTCATTTAACCCCAATTGCCTAAGAAAAGAAAAAAAATGTAGCACAGGAGAGGAGTCACTAAGCTAGACCTTAGAGCCCCAAGGTAGAAGGACATTCCAGAAACGCTTCCTCTCTTAAGAGGGAACAGCTACCTTCTCTTTAGGAAAAACTTGATAATATTTTCTTTAATTCTAAGTCTTCAGTCAGTGATGTGCCTTCCTTTTTTTTTTTTCTTCTGTGTCATGCTCATTTAGTATCTATGCAGGACTTATTTCTTTTCATGTCAAATTCTTTTCCTTCTCCACCATGACAGCCCATAGTGCAATAATTCTATAATTCATTGCCTGATTTCAACACAAAAGTACCATATTAAGGCAAATATTAGGGAGTGAATGTTCTCACAAACTTCTCAAAAGTGAGCTCAGTCAAAAAGCTAGGGTTGTGGGGCAGCTAGGTGGTGCAGTAGATAAAGCTCTGGCCTTGGAGTCAGGAAGACCTGAGCTCAAATCTGGCCTCGGACACATGACACTTACTAGCTGTGTGACCCTGGACAAGTCACTTAACCCCAATTGCCTCACCAAAAAAAAAAAAGCTAGGGTTGTGAACCCAGATACTATACCTGAACCCAATGACATGCAAGTTTGGAGTTATTTTCCACATGGTTGTGAGGAAATTATTTATTGTATTGTTCAGAAAACTTATTTTTATACTGTTTAAATTTAATTTTGTGATTAGAGATTGTTTGAACCCAGAATATTGCCCTGACCTCAGTAATTCTCCAGGAATTCTGGAGAGGGCTGCAAGGAATTCTCTGAGGTTCTGGATATATCCAAGACATTCTTATTTTGGGTCCTCTCACCCAAGCCTTGTTTTGGGTCCACTCAAACTCGTGTTCTGGATCCCCTTGGATTTTGAGTTTGCCTAAAATTTTGTTGAATGTTTACACTTACTCATATTCACCTCAATCTTCCTCGCTTTCAAGTTGCCCTCTCACAAAATTTCTTAAGTGGGTTCATTTGTGGGCAACCTTGTCAAAATCCTCTATCATGGAAACTTCCCAGAACCTAAGGAAAGTGGGCCACACCTCCTCTCCTGCTTGCTCTCCTCTACCAAATGATGTAATAAATTTCTTTCTAAAATTATTTCAGAACTTAGGGTTTGTCCAATGAACAATATGGTCCTCAAACTAAGAAAAATTCAAATATCTTTCCTTGGAATTCAAGACCCTCTACCACCTGATGTCATGCAAACTTTCCAATCCTATTTATACCACTCTCCTACACAAACCTATGATCCAGACAAACTGGATACCTCTCTGCCCCTGTCCATGAAAACCATTCTTACCCCTCCATGTCTTTTCTCAGGCATTTGCTTAGGATGCCTTCGCTTCTTTCTTTAGCTATTAACTCATCCCCATCCTATACCTTGACTCAAAGGCAATCTCCTCTAAAAAACCCTGCCTCATCCTTATCGTTGGTAATAACCTTCCTCCCCAAGCCCTATGTACTTATCAAGTAACATTGTGTATTTTAGCTATCTGCATTGTGCCTGAATGGACAACAAATTCCTTAATGATAAACTTTGCGTGTCCCCCAGCCCTATGTACAGAGCTTTGTACACAGTAGATGTTTAATAAATGTTCATTGAGAAGCAGCTGGATGGTGCAGTGGATAGAGCACTGGCCCTGGAGTCAGGAGGAGCTGAGTTCAAATCTGGCATCGGACACATGATACTCACTAGCTGTGTGACCTTGGACAAGTCACTTAACCCTGACTACCTCGCCAAAAATAAAATGTTCATTGAATATGATTTGATGGTGGATAACAGCTAACAAAGTATAAGAGTCTAAATCTATCAAAGTAAATTTCTCCTTGTCGGGGCTAGATAAGCTTCACTGGAAGGTGGTATGAAGAAGCATCACTCCTGAAGGGATTTGCTTTATGACATTCAGTGATTTGAGGCCAAGTAATGGAAAGAGAAGGATATGCCATTAAAATGTCTCCTAAGAGTAAGGGAGGGACAAAGATAAGGAGTTAATTCCTTTAACTGAGTGTTATAGAGGGCTGGATGACTTCTTTGCTCAAATATCTGTAACTATGCAAATTAAACATTAGGTGAAGCAATACATGAATATTTTATGGTTTGGGGCATAAACTTTCCATCTGTAAAAAAAAAAAAATTCCAGATGACTCTCTTTTCAGCCAGATCCCTGCTCAAATACCAGCAGAGTATATCCTGAGGTTTTCCTCTCTTTTCCTATGAAGCACACAGCACTGAACCCTGCAGGAGAAAGAATGCTGGGGCTAATTTGGCCAATCCACTATGACTAATCCTATGTCCTTATAATACAGAGTTCAGTTCCCAAGAGTAAAAAATCCTTTTATGTGTTAGTTTGGAGAAAAATTGGCCACACTCATCCCACTTTGTAATCACTCTGTTGACTTTCCCTTGAGTAACACATCAACTATAAATTATCCTTCTGGCTTCTTTTTAAATTGGGCATTTCCCTTCAAATTAACAAGATAATGATTGGAAACATTAATTTAAAAGGTATTAATGATGGCAGAGAAGGTTACATGATGCACAACTAATCAATGGCCAGTCAAAAGGCCAAAAGAGTGAATACTAGCAGGCAGGTGACATTCTGGTGCTGAACCAAATCCTTTGAGACACTGGAAGCCTGGCTTACTCTGCAGCAGACAGAATTTATCACACCTCAGGGTGTGAGACAAAGCAAAGAACTTTATTTTATATGTTATACATTTCAGTAAATATGGCTGTGTCTCTAAAAGAATATTAGTTTTAAAGGCCCTAAAGATTTTGAGTTTTTGAGTACTCTGACATTTCTGGATGCTTGACACTTACCTATACTGCCAGAATAAAATCTCTATTTCCACAGAATTTTTTAAAGTTGTTTGAAAATGATTTCATCCTGTAACATTATTTGAATGTGAATTTCAGCTTGAAATCACAAAAGGTCATGAAATCTGGACAATGGTTGGTTATACATATGCTCCCAGTACTCTGATTCCCCACCCCCACAACATGCTTATTTTTTTTTTCTTTAATTTGAGGAAGGAAAAGAAAGAAGATGTAGAGGCCTATGAACTAACTTAAAACTCTCTAATCTTCGGTACTGATCTAAAAACTTAATTAAGAGAAAATATTATCTTTAAGATGAAACACATATTGCTTAAAACTCTGTCACTTTCCTCTTGGTCCCCTTTTTGAATCTGGGTCTCATGTACTTCCTGAGGAGCAAGAAGCAAAACGTCTGGAAAAAAATGACCAACAAATTTCAGCCACTTCTAAATCAGCTTGATAATTGAAAGGAACGGAAGTGAGAGTCCTCATGTGCTATTCAGAATTGAGGTGGGACCACCTGGGGTTTCCAGTTTTAGATATAACTCTTTTGGCAATTAGCAAATCTCTGAGCATCTGCCTCCCTTGGTATTTAGGTAAATTAATAATGTTAAGGGTTTCTAAAATGAGAAATGGGTTACAAGGTATGTCAAAGCACCTCGAGAATAATTGGCTTGGTTACCTTTCTTCCAAAGGGACTTCCTCCAGGCACAAGCCTCCAGCATCTACACTGGCATGCTCAGAACCTAAGAATTCATCTAATTCAGGCAGGTAGGAGACAATGAAGCTTAATTATCCTGTCCCCTCTCCCCAGCTTCATTCCAGTGCCTAAGACATCTATTTTCTTTTAAAAAGCCCAGCCTTTAGTTCCTACATCAATGTTTTTCTGTGTGCCACCTTCCATTTCAAAATGTTAAATGAAAGATGTTAAGTTCCCTGGTCATCTCTGATAGGACATCTCATTTCTTTTACTTCTGGGTATTTACACCTTCCCATCTGCAGGCCAACCTGAGTAACAAGAATGTAAATGAATGGAAAAAAACCCCCAACATTTATCAAGAGCCTATGGTCAGGTACTATGCTATGCATGGGGAACCTGAATATAAAAATGAGACAATTCTTTCCCTCAAGGAGTTTACAGTCTTATAGAATGAGGCAACACAAATTGGTTAGTACTAGCCTGGAAAAGAAATTCTGGTCTGGGGAATCACTGGCTGGTGAATGGAACTACAAATGGCAATAATTTCATCCTTTCCAAAAGCAGTGGTAATATTGATTAATTTAGCACAGGGCCTAGCACTTAGTAAGTGCTTAATAAATATTGATTGATTGATTGATTACTGTTCCCAGAACAAAAGATTAGTCAGGCAAAGAGGAAAGGAGACAGTAGGACAAGCAGCAAGGTTCCTGGGCGTGGAGGGCAGAATAGCATTTGAAGTCTGGGCTGGAGCCAGCTAGATAGACTGGCTTAGGCATGTCAGTAGGTTCATGGTGCCATATGGCAACTGTGATGGTAAAAATCAATAAGAGGTTTGCTCTTACTGTAAGAAACTATTTATCAAGGTTACTCTGAACTTAACCCAATTCCAAAAATCCAAGAGCGTTTTTCTAAATTGCCATTGTCAAGATCATATCAGTTCTGGGATAGTAGAATCACTTATTTTTTGTTTCAGCCCTTTTTGAGTTTGGAGCTATGACCTAAAATGCTTCATGAAAAAAGACCTTGGATGAGGATGAAGGGAAGGAAGTTACAGAGTTATCACTTCTCCATAGTTCTTCACCCACATGGTGTTGGAACTCTTGGCTGCTGGAATGCCTCCGTTATGAGCATGGTGTCTTGATGATGCAGTCAAAGGATCTGTATCCACAGTTTGAAGTCCATTAAACTTGTAGATTCATGTCCTATAGCCTACATGAAGTATCCACCAAGACTCTCAAACTACTCAGTACAACGGTGATGGTCTCCACTGTGCATCTTCTCAGTGGAAGATATGATGGCATGATCTTTATGGAGCTGATATTCCATCAAATTTTCAAGAATGACTCAAAGTGGAGGATATTATAGTAGATTGGAATAAAAATAAACATAGAACAGCTGTTTATTTTGTATTTTAAAATCAAACTTTAAAAAAAACACTTTACAATGTATCATTAGTAACTGTTAATTATTAAATTAATATTCATCACACCATCCTGTAGTGGACAACTACCAAGTACTAGTGTCTAGGAAGTATTTTTGTTCATTTGTTTAAAATGTTTTGAACTCTTTATATGTAATCCAAAGTATTATGATAATAAAGTGGCCACACAAAGTTTTCCATTATAAGGTTTTCCAAAAGTCTTAGTGCACTTTTAAGCTATTAAAGCAAACTCCCAAATAATGCCCATGCTTCTTAACTACTTCATGTAGTACAGGGGTGGAAAGGGGACAGTCTAGTCTTCCTGATGAGATTATGTGAGTGTAGAAGCATTTACTTCCATTGGAATTTACTTCTCTAGGCTCAAAACAATCAGCACTGTTTATAGTATTTCTATCAATGTAGGTTAGAATAAGATTGTAAGATATAGATAACTTATTTCATATCATTGTTACCAAGCAGTATTATGGAAAATGATTGAACTTTACCTCCTGCTGTTACAGAGAGATATTTGCCATGGACTGCTGACTGATGGGAAAAAGAAATTCAAGGGAGGGAAAGTAAGTATGCACTTTATTCCTCCAAATTTATCCTTACTTTGGTTAACATCAGATTTTCAGCTGTTTCTCTGGGTTTTTAAATTTTCTTTTTTTAACGTTCTGATAGGAACTCAATGAGAAATTTATAAATATTTTTAAATTTGAGTTTCCCCAAATTAAATGTATCTATCACATGAAGGCTAATTCCCAAATCATCTATTTTTCAGGGATCTGGTATGGCATGAGGGAGTATACACATGCTTATATTATATGTATGATGGTAATATGTATTATGTAATACATATGTAGGAGACAGTCTGGTGGTTCAGTGGATGGAGCATTGGCCCTGGAGTGAAGAAGATCTAAGTTCAAATTTAGCCTCAGACACTTACTAGCTATGTGATCTTAGGCAATTTACTTTACCTCTGTTTGTCTTAATCCACTGGAGAAGGAAACCACTCCAGCATCTTTGTCAAGAAACTGTGTGGACAGCATTGGCGTGCTGTGGTCCATGGGGTCACAGAGTCAGACATGACTGAACAACTACAACAAAAATTATAGTAAGATTATTTATTTTATATAAACTTTACCTTTATAGATATCAATGTTTATGGAAACACTGGCTCTAAAGTCAGATGAGTTAGGTTCAAATCCCACCTTTAATCTACTTATTACCTATCCATCCATTAACAAATCGGATTACTTAAGATCTCTGGGCCTCAGTTTCTTTGACTGTAAAATGAAGGAGTAGTCCAGGATGGCAGCAATATTTATATTACTGTAATATAAATTGAATGTAAAGGAGAGATGTGTGTTAGGGTGAAACATAGGTTGTAGCCAGATTTTAGAATGTCTTGAATATCAGATTAGGATTTTATACTTTATTCATTGAGGAAGAAGTAATTACTGCTTTTTTTTTCTAGTAGAGAAGCGATTTGCTCAGGGAAGTAAGTACACAACAAAGATAGGGCAGCAAAAGGAAGGAGAGGATGAAGAGAAGATACTAGAGCCAAGGAGAATGGTTAGGAGGCCATTGTGATACTCTCGAATGGTTGTGGTAGGAGTGGAAAGAAGGAGCTGAAAATGAGAGAGATTACATACCTAGGCCTAACAGGGTTTGGCAAGTGCTTAGAAGTGTGGCATGAAGGAGGGAAAGAATGAATAGTGATTTCAGGGGTAGTACCTGGACAACTGGTTGTTCTTATTATTTGTCACATGACTTAGTGGTCCCCTTAGGATGAATATAGCCTTTGCCTTACCTACTAATCTTATCTCTCCATAGGAAGAGGGAGTGCTGAGGCAGGTACTCAAATCTCCCTGTATGTAGCATAATGTTGTACAGGTAACTGGTCTGTAAGGGGGGGAAAGCAACATTCAAGGAAACTCAACGATGCCTATGATCTTGTCCCCTCCCACATCTATTCTGGGGCCTGATAGTTTCAGAAATGGGGCCCTGCAGAAGGGGTTTATAAATGCCAAAGCAACCAGCCTCTTCTCTCCTCTCTTTACTAGCTAAAGACTATCTCATGTAAGTACCAGCAGAGAGATATGTGGGCTTTTGGATGGCTCCTCTCTCCTTGCCTCCATTTTCTATGCATCTGCATTGAGGACTCCATGGCAGATCACACAAAGGATTTCTCTGTAGGAGAAGGAAAGGTAATGATGTGTGTTTGTCTTACAGTGCACTCGCATTTCAAACTCGTCTGCTGTTCCGATACATGAAAGGAGCTGTTAAACCCTAAACAAAAGCTTAATAAGAAGTGTTAAACTGAAAAAAAAAAGAAAGAATAAAAACTGTCATTAAGGGTAACCAGTCTGCATGTGGTTTCCCAGAATGACAAGTAAACAATAAACATTAAGTATTGTCAAATAACTTCCACAAAAAAAGGATTTCCGTGCATGTGCAGATAGGGAGAAGAACAGAAGCCTGGGCCAAATCACAGAGGTTTTGTATGTAAGCAAACAGGAGAGGTGGTAGAAAGTCCTTGACCTGCAGAGTACCAGAGAGTCAGTGTTTCTTCCTCCTGCAATCATCTGACAAGGCTCATCTCCCCTTAATTAACTATCCAGTGGCTCTTCAGGTCCTCTTTTTGACCATCTACTTAACAATGCATTCAATGCTGTCAGGATAGTTGCAGGAGTAAAAAAAAAATAGCTGAAGGGGCCAGATTTTTTTTAAGCCTAAGGTAGACTATAGCAATATGTATATGATTAATTCATTTAAAAATGAGAGACAGAGAGACAGAGAAAGACAGAGATACAGAGACAGAGACGCAAAGACAGTGAGACAAAGACATACACATACAAAAGGAGAATAACCAGGTTTGTTCCTCTTCCCTGTCTATTCATCTATGAAAATGGCGACTGACAAAATATGTAGTCCACCTCCCTGTATCCTCTTTCTTTGGGACTGCAAAATATTTTAATGAAATGAAATTGGAAAGAAACATAACAAAATACAAACCCATAACTTGAAATAACTAAGCCAAATACAATGATCTAAGAAAACTCTAAAGAATTTATGATGAAAAATGCTATCCATCCCCAGAGAAAACTGATGGTGTCTGAATACAGATTGAAGTATACTTTTCTTTTTTGCTTTCTTTATTTTTCTTGAGTTTTTGTTTTGTAGTTTTTGGTCTATGTTTTCTTTCACAACAAGAAAGTTTTGGCGTGAATATACATGTATGACCTATATTGAATTGCTTGCCTTCTCAATGAGGAGGGCTGGAGTGGGAAGGGAGATAATTTGGAACTCAAAATTTTAAAAATGAATGTTAAAAATTGTTTTTACATGTAACTGGGGAAAAATGAAATACTAAACAAAAAACAAACAAACAAAAAGAAATATCTAAGCTATTACAGGAAGTGTTTTAGATTAGAATACTGTCTTAATGAATCAAAAAAAAAAGACTTTTCTGAATGTGAAAGGGTAGAAAATGCAATTCAGTATAATGGTATTGATTGAGCACCTACAATATACCAGGCATAGTGCTAGGTACTGAATCTAGGATAAGGATAGAGACTAGACCTGTGATTTGTTTCATGTAGGGAACCCTCTACACAATGCAGGTCAGTATCTTGTCCTGGAACTTGCCCTAAGTCACACTGCCAGAATGTAACCCAGCACTTCCTGACTTACAAGACCAGCTCCCTATCCACTCCACCAAACTGCCTCTTTAGGTACTAGAGAAAACAAAAACAGAAAAGAAGCAGTCTCTGATCTCAAAGAGTTCACATTCTATCAAAAGTTGTTGTTGTTTGTCCTTCGTTCTCAAAGAAGACCTTGACATCAGAAAAGTGATGTCATGACTTGATTATGAATTGGACTTAAGTGAAGGAGGGCTGTGCAAAGTTGCCAGTCTCACTTTCTCCTCCATCTGGGTCCACTGGCAAGATATAGATTAAGACAACTGGAGATGGCCCCAATGCAGTGGGAGACCTTGGCCTTTATGAGCTAAGGTCTTTCCAAGTTCTCACTTTGACTGAGGCAATGCCCATTCAGTGATTAAGGCTAGGTAAGAAATGTTAGTAAATAGACAACACACACAAAATGACACAATCAATTTCAAGAAGGAGAGCATTCTAAACCTAGAAGGAACAAGAAAGGACTCTGCAGGAGGTGGCACTTAGACTGTATGTAACAGTGGTTACATCTGACAAGCCATGCCATCTCTCATATGACTTCATCTGCATGGACAGGGAAAGGTATCTGATTCTTATTGTGAATAGGATAAAGGAAGTGGAAATATCCTGTATGAGGGAGATGACTATTAAATAACCAATTGTTAACATTGGGGAGAACAAGGATTTTTTGCCTTCCTATTTCCTCAATCTCTAAAGGGTCAAATCAACCTCTGAAGAATAGGACTGATAATGAGATTGTATTTAACATTCTCCTCAATCTTGTTCAGACCCCACCCAACTGAGGAAGCTTAGGTCTGATTAAAGAATAAGAATCTAATCTGGGTAAATTCTGGCCCATTGTGTTCTGCTTAGGCTTAAGTGAGGGTTAGGTCTTTTGTCTAGATTGCCTGGGCAGAGGTGGTCTGGGAGTAAGAGTGATATAATGAAAGTCATAACCTTGGCCCAACATTAGAATAGGTCCAACTCGCATTATAATATTCATTTTCTCATTAACTGTTAACCAATCAGAATTGATTGCTGCCTGTGAGGAACACCCACTCTTCCAAGGGTATATGTGTCAAAAAGCCTTGGTTTACAAGAGAGGGCCAAATGACCATGCTTTTATTAATTATTACTAGCCATAATTAATAAGATGACTGATTACCCAGAAGGTACGTCTCTCAAACTTTTCATTCGTCATATCTAGGAAATTGAGAGAATCTACAACCTACCCTGAGAAAGCCTGTCCTTTAATGAGTGGGATTAGGCTATTGTGTCTACCCCTTGGTGCCTACACCACAGCACTTCAAAGAAGAAATACTTATGACTTTATGTTGAAGATCTCCCAAAAAGGAGAATAGAAAGGTATTTAAAGTACAAAATGAATCAAGTATAGGACAGGTATTTTTTCCAACATAGAAAAGAAAAGCTAAATGACACAAAAGATTCACAACATAAATAGACAAGATTTATGCAATCAGTAAATTATAGTATAGGTACTGTTAGATTATAAGCTGTTTAAGGGCTGGGACTATCTTTTGCCTCTTTTTGTATTCCTAGTGCTTAGCACAGTGACTGATATGTAGTAGACACTTAATAAATGTTTATTGATTGGTTATAATCTCCTAGAATATTGGGTTTAAAAACATCAGAACATGGAGGTTTATTGTTTCTTCTTAGAGTCCACAGGCATCCAGCTCCCCTTGGGCACACAGTCTCTGTTGAGTGGGTTGCTCAGGTAAGTTTCACTACATGGCTCCGATCAGGGGTCCTGTTCTCAGATCTACCCATATGGAACAAGTATTTCTGCTCCCTGAATTGTTCCTCCAGATCTCTCTAACTAATGAACTCTTAAACTACTGGATGGGATTTCTCTCTCTGGGTGATTCATAGTCACCATGTCTATGGGGAGGAAAGGAAGGGAGAAGAAAGAACAGGACTCTCCTGAAGGGTTCTTCACTACAAAGCATTCCCTTAGACTAAACTATGGCACCTGAGACTTAGCTATTTAAAGCCCTGAATGACTTGTCTACTTTTGCTTGTTCAATGAGATTACTTCAAATAAAATGAAGAACTGATCATCCCAATGCTCTGGTATACAGAATTACCTACAAAAAAAAAATAGACAGACACCTTTATTCAACCCAGTCACACAATTAATGTCGATGGAACAGTCTGTGAGCCATGAAAGACATTCAGGACAAGGGACAGGGAGATGCCAGAGGAAAAATAGCCTCATAGCTATGATGTTTTCATTAGATGCTGCCCCTTTTGGAGGCCCTTATCCTAAACCTATAAGGGCCAGCATTAGAGACCCCACCTTTCATGCTGGTAATCTAATTTGCTGCATTTGTCACCCTTGCTGAGCAGAATGTGATTTCACAGCTGGGGCAATGTGCAGAACTATGTGGCCTAGGGAATTCCCTTTTTTCAATGTCTGGGATCCCTTTTTCAACTAGTCTGGGATGTAAGCTTGAGTGACTCTTTCAATGTTAATCTATTTAAAATCAACACAGAGGAAATGTTCTGTCTCTGTGCTCCTGAGAGACTAAGGGTTCTGCTAGCCTGAATTCTCATCTAATGATGTGTCTTAGAGGACTGGGAAAGAACTTGAAGGTTAGCTTAGGCTGGGAAATTCTTGTGTTACTGGTGTATACTAGTCCTAGATTTGACAAATTAGGCTCTGATCTAAAAGTGTTGCTCTGAGACTCTTATCTCATCTCTTAAGGGTAGACAACTGGAGGAAAAGATAGTATCCTACTGTTTCATAGAGAATAACTTAAACTCTCGATTTCCTAAAAATTTTTATTTGCTGACATAAAGAGCCAAATTCAGAATAGGGAATATCTTCATAATCTCTTAGCTCCTCAGTAAAGCCACTAGCCATTAGATGAGCAACTATGTCACAAGGTCATCCTTAATATGTTATGATGATCTAGTGGGATTCCTCATTTCACAATTTTAGCTAGAGAAGGGAAGTAATGGAATGGTTGGGTCAGGAACCGTGGTGGAGAAAGGAAAGATTGTGGATGGTATGTATCTATAATATTCTTAGCATTAGCAACAATAGCTCGTAAAGTGCTTTAAGATTTGCAAAGCACTTCATAGAAATTATCTCACTTGAGCCTCACACTAGCCCTATGACAAAGGTACCAATATCATTCCCACAAGAGAAGTTCAATGACTTGCCCAGGGTCATACACAGAGTAAGTACAAGAGGTGGGATTTGAGCCAGATTCAAGAGTGCTTTCTCTTCTACACCATTCTGCCTCTAGCTTTCAGAGTATTGGGATCCAGATGGCTGAAGCAGTGGAGGGCTGGCTGGCTATATTCCCAGGGATGGGAAAGGACAATGTTCTTCCCCCACTGTGTGTCCCAGTGTAGCTCAGCAAGTTAACAAATGCATGATGGAAAAAGGTGCTAACATTGCCCCTGATCACAGCACTCACTAAAACTGTTTCACTGGAAATACGTTTTTAAAAATTTGACACACAAAGGGCTCATCATGAACTTATTTTCACCTTTCACTTCAGGAAAACAAATAATGTGCATTCCTCTGTGTGCAAAAGTCACAGAAACATCTCAACATGGATTTCTGACATCACATCTCCTTCCCCACCCCAGTCTACATTTTTTCACCAAAGTTAATGGCAGGTTTTTGGAGTATTGCCTAGATTACTGCAATAGCCTACTGGTGGCCTGTCTACCACAAGTCTCTCCCCACTCCAGGTCATCCACCACTCAGCTGCCAAAGTGATCTTCCTAAAGCGTAGGTCTGACCATGTTACTATTTTACTCAATAAGCTTTAGTGACTCCCTATCACCTCCCTATCAGATATAAAGCCCTCTGTTTGATGTTCAAAGCCCTTCATAACTTACCCTCCCCACTCCCTCAACAATCCAGTATTCTTACACCTTTCCCCATCCCCAGCCCCCTCCATGTTTTCTGTGATCCAGAGTACACTGACTTCTTTGCTGTTCCTCGAACAAGGAACTCCATCTGCTGACTCTGAGCCCTTTCTCTGTCTGTCCCCCATGTTTGGAATTCTTTCTTTTCTCCTCTCCATCTAGTTTCTGTGACTTTCTTTACTGTTGTTGTTCTTGTTGTTGTTACTGCTAGTGCTGTTGTGGTTGCTGTTGTGGTTGCTGTTATTTTTGTTGTGGTTGTTCAGTCATTTTCAATCATGTCCAATTCTCTGTGACCCCATTTTGGATTTTCTTGGCAAAGATACTAGAGTAGTTTACTATTTCCTTCTCTAGATCATTTTATAGATGAGAAAACTGAGGCAAACAGGGTTAAATGACTTGCCTAGGGTCACACAGCTAGTGTGCAGTCTTCCTGACTCCAGGTCCAACAATTTATTCACAATGACTTTAAGTCTCAGTTAAAACCCCACCTTCTACAGGAAGACTTTCTGCTTCCTCCTTCATTCTAGTGCCTTCTCTCTATTGGTTATCTACAATTTATGGTGGTGTGTGTAAGCATATATATAATATATATTATATTAAAACATACATACATTACCTTATTTGTACGTAGTTGTTTGCTTGTTGCTCCTCCTCCCACCTACCCACCCCCATTAGATCATGAGAACAGGGATTGTCTTTATTTCCACTGCTTAGCACAGTGTCTAGTGCATAGGTTTGTTGATTAATTGATTATTTCATTCACTCCCTGGACCACACTGCCTCATCTTCATGTTAGTGACAGTGCCCATCCCTTAGATTTTCACTTCTTTCTCTGAGAACTGTAATCAAAAGCACAATGTCAATAAAACATGTATCAGTTAACACTCTCACTAGTTTGTGACTTTGAAGACCATGACTACCTTTCCCGTCTATCACTATGCTATGTGTGTTGTCTCCTCCATTCAAATGTAAGCTCCTTGAGGGTAAGGACTGTTTTTCTCCCCTTTGTTTTTGTTTCCACATTGCTTATTACAATGCTTGGCTCCTAGCAACTGAGTCCACAGTATTCAGTCCAAGAAAATGTCTATCTCTGGTTTTAGTAAAATAAAACTTCCATATATCTTCCTGCAAAGTGGTGAGTTGAAACAGCTATTTGGTCTTGACATTTTTTCAAGAATTATTGTCCTTGCAAAGAGAGAATTAAAAGAATTCTGCTGAATCACTATGGCCCCTATAAACAGACACCAGGATTATTTCAAGCATGGTATTAAGTGACATAGTACCAGATTTCTTTGAATTGATTGGGCTTTGAAATTTCATCTTACTGAGAATAATCTAAAATATGTCTCTAATCGATGTAATTAATTAGTTATATTTTTCTCCCTCTCCCCCTTCATTACTATTGCTCGTACATTTTCAGCACCTTGGTCAGTTATCTGAAAATAGCTATTAGCTTCAATGGCCAACAAAGATTCACCATGGCATGACCAGAACTTGTGACTTCATTAAAATGGGATCAGACATTACCACTGCATGTTAATCAGCAACATGATTGTTCATCCACCTTAGACCAATATTGTATTTAATGTTGTAGAAAGTTACCAAAGTAATAGAAAAAAAATTAAAGAACTGACAATCTTGGAGAAAAGATTTAGAGGATAAAGTCAGCAAATACTGACTTACCCCCTTTCTCATTAACATTTGAATCAAAGAGCAAAGAACAGAGAGGGATTAGTCTTAGCCCAGTTAGGGAGGGAATAGTAATAGTCTACCTTATAATGATTGCTGTTTTTCTCTGTCTCCCTTAGAGGAGTTAGATCACACACACAAAACTCAAGGCATTAGTCAGCTTAGATGCCTGCCCTCAAACCAATATGCTGAGAAGCCAACTTTATTATGAGTAGTAATGATACACACTTTTGTATCACTTTAAGGTTTGTAAAGTGCTGATGGATGGTTATCCTCTAGGAAAGTGATGGACTAAATGATCCCTAAGATCCCTTCCAATTAAAACCCTATGATTCTAATCCAAGTGCCTGCATTGGGGCATAGAAAAGGGGGTAAAAAAGAAATTATGACAAAATGAATGTTAAGTCATCTCTAAAGCTGGATAATATATGTAATTTAACTGCAAGAGAACTAGCCACTTGTCCTCTACTCCCCTCCTTACTGCCCCCTCTCCCCCCTGCAATTTAGGACAGTTCAAATAAAGGCAGAAATGTCTGTTTTAAATAGCATGCAGACAGAGATAGGGATGCTTCCACTTGCCTATCACATTCCTGAATTTTTGTCAGGGCTTTCACTATGCAAGGCCCCCATCCTATAGGGCTATAGAGGTAGGTATGATAATGGTTACTTGCAAAGTCATGTAAGTATAAATATGTGGTATATAGGATAACTTACAAGGCTGATCATGAGCCAGAGCAGTTTTTGTACCAAGGAGTGCACAAAAGTAGTTGTGGCAAAAACTGATCTAGGCTGACTAAAGCTGACATATAATGACTGCTACCTGTGATCCAATGTTACCTCCTGAGAGGCTAAAATGTGGCTTAGCTCCCCACCCTGCTTCATGGAAGCAGGTAACTAAGAACTTTTTGGAAACAGAAGACAAAATGGACACTTTTAATTACATAAAATTAAGAAGTTTTGCACCAACAAATCAAATAGAGCTCAGATTAAAAGAGGAAAAAGTTCTCGATGGGGAGGGGGAATTGGAGCAAATTTCTCTGAAAATGATGTAATTTCCGTCATATATAAGGAACTAATGCAAATGTTTAAGAGTAAGAGTCATTCCCCAATGAAGAAATGGTCTAAAGATGTAAACGGATT